TTGCACAGGAGAGGAGCCTGATAACTAAAAGATCTTCCTCTCATTCTACTTTTAGAAATTCTAGGAACCATTAGTAATCCTGCACAATGAGAGCGAAGTGCTCTGAACATAACGAATTATCAGATCTCTCATATAAGACAGGACTTGGCCATTTAAGGCTTTATATGTAAGAGGGAGAATTTTAAAATTATTCTCTGGATTTAACAGGAAGCCAATGAAGATAAGCTCAGATAGTAGAAACATAATCGCTCTTTTTAATTTTCATCAGAACTCTGGTTGCTGTATTTTCAAGCAGCTGAAGATGTTGACTTAGAGATTGCGGACTTCCTGATAGTAAAGAATTACAATAGTCTAGACTTGAAGTAACAAATACATGGGCTGGGTTCTCAGCATCACTCCTAGAAGATATTTTTAATTTTTGTAATATTCTGGAGATGAAAAAGGGACATTCTAGAAACTTGTTTGATGTGTGATTTATATGGAAAAATTTACAAATTTAATCCTATCCAGATAAAGTAACTTTCTTATCAGCTTCTATTTAAAATACTTTGATCCAAAGGGGGGGGGGGGACTTCTGTTTGTCTGTATTCAAAAGCTGAATGTTTAGTCATCCAAAAAGTTTTGAAAAATTCAAAAGACAAGTCCTTGAGAAATGTTGTGACTTTTCATCCTCTACATAGATCTACCTCTAATATAAAATATAGATCTACTACTATCTAAATACATACATTTCATGTGGAGGAACAAAATCATACAGAAACCTTGAATGGCAAGTCAAAAAATTAAAGTCCTATTCTTTCAAATCTTTGTTTTTGTATTACTTTGTGTTAGAGGTACCGATTTAAAAACAAGAGATTTTTTCAAGCCTGCCGTTTTGAGGTTCAAAGCTGATTAGTTTTTCCAATGACTTTATTTAGCTGTTATAACTAAAATATAAATAAATAAATAATTTTTTCTTACTTGCCTTCAGATATGAACTCTGCTGCAAAATAAAGAAATATGTGAACTCTGTTTGTATTTTGAAAATACAGCAGTTTTGTTACACTCTTATGGTGTGATCATTTATAAATGTTTAGTGGTTTAAAGCAGGTTTTCTGGTGAAATATCCAAATTGGTTATGTGTCCTACTTTGTGGTACATGTGGAGCCAAGTTACATCACTTTGACAGTCTGTTTATCTAACTGTCCTACATGTGGAAGCGTGTTGTCTTAAGTGTTTAAAATAAAGTTTCCCTGAATCTGATGTAACGATTTTAACTTTAAAATACACTTTGACGTTATTTGTTTTATTTGGTTTAGATTCTATGAAATGCGTATTACAAAGCAAAATACTGTGTCACTGTAAACAAAATAGGACTCTTGTTCTTAAGAGTGTAATGTAGATCCCAACATCCCTGTATATTTTGTACATATAAGGATTCAGCTGTCCATCCTTGGTTGTTCACTGGCTTTGCTCACATACAAACTTATGAGAACTTTTTATAGATTAATCTTCCCTAATTTATAAAAACAATAAAGTGTTTTTCCACTAATATTGTTTTATTCTTATTGTACAGTACTATCTAATACGATACTACCTATGGCTTAAAATGTATCTCATATCTACAATAAGTATAAGTATTTTGTAACACATAGATTCAGATCATTATTTTTTAATTTTTCATTGTGCTACTGCATAAATTGTTTCTGTAATGTTTTAGGCGACCACTATGTCATCCCCATGTACTGTATTTTCTAAAAGTATGAAATTAACAAACTCACACAGAGTATGTATGTGGTGCCAATGGTCTCTAAATAGGATTGTGTGGGGTTCTTCTAGATTTGTGGAATAGCAATTTTATGGCAGGAGTCCCCAACAAATCCAGGTGAAAAGCTGCTCTAAAGAAAATTTCTTATTACACATTGACCGTCTCATAATATGTATCTGGTTGTTAATCTTTATGATTTTGTGTTTGATGTTTTGTTGTTGATTGAAGATTTTCATGTTTTTGACGACTATACAACATAATATTCTGATCTTGTCATGGAGTAAAGTACTTTGCATTGCCTTGCTGCTGAAATGTGCTACACAAATGTTTAATGTTGCTTTACTTTTACTTTTTCAATGCAATATCTCAGCACAGCAAGGTCCAAAGAGGTCAAAGGGAGACAGAAATGAATTCTTGCAAAATTTAATGAAGACGCCATAATCCAGAACTGATCAAAGAAACTCAGGAATCGAAAACTAAGAGAAACCAAAAAACAACTAGAGTGACACAAAAAGGAAATGAAACCAATGATCCAGAAAACACAGAGTTACATAAATCAAAGTGTAACTGAAAACTCAAAAAGAAAACTTAAACAGTACTTAAAGTCTAGAAGTGACAGAATCATGACACTGAGATGTGTTGAACTACGACTCTCCTTCCATTTTTTTAACTTTGGCTTTCAACATTTTGTATGACAAATAACTTCAAATTTCCAAATTTCTATAAAGACGAGCTTCACCGCCCAAAGTGGGATTAATTTTGGCTCTCCAATTTAGACCAGTTATCCCCCAAAAAGTTTACACTTGATTTATCCCACATAACTTTTCCAAAGCAGAACAGGTGGTTATGCTACAGCCAGTCTTTACAGGGAAGGCTCAAGCAGTCCAGTTTACTCCTACTACTAACACATATTGCAGACCTAAGGTCTCTAGATGTTCTTGGTCTGTCGTTGTTGACCTGTGGTGGGCCTGGAGAAAGAATTTGACTGTGTTCCTTTTTGGTCCTTGTTGGGGTGTTGCAGAGGAAAGGAGCTGGGAGCTTTTTACTTTGGGCTGTAGAAGTGCAGCAGGAGTTTGGTCCACATTGCTGGCATCAACTGCTCCCTGTGCATGATGGACTCTGCCAGGGCTGCCCTTTGTTACTGGTCCTGTTTATAACCTTTACAGACAGGTTTTCCAGGCAGAGCCAAGGGGATGAGAGGGTCTTTTTTTGGGACCAGCATATTTTGCCCTGATTTTTTTTTGGACAATGTGGTTCTATTGTAAAGACCTGCAGCATGCACTGGGGCAGTTCACGGCCAAGTGCAATGACACAGGATGATGATCAGCTCCTCCAAGTCTGAGGCTAGTTCTGGAACTGGTCATTATTGAGAAAAGAATGGAGAAGGAGATCAACAGATGTATCTGTGCGACTGCCACTGGAAAATTGATGCTATTCTCTGAGTCTCTGAGTAAAAAGGCCAAGCTCTCGATTCACAGGTCAGTCTGCATTCCTACCTTTACCTATGGTTATGAACTCTGGATCATGACCAAAAGAATGAGATCCAGGATATAAAAGGCTGAAATGAGTGGCTGGGCACTCCCTGTTAGGATTCCAGTTTGTGTGGCTTGTTTTTTTGTGTTTTCCTCTCTCCACCACCAGGCGGTGCCTTGTCCTCATTAGGCCTCCCTGCACATCTGCGGCTTGTTGGGTCATTACCAGAGGAGTACTTGAGCAGCGGGCTGTCACTACCTCGACGCCAGAGTGTTTGCCAGTATTGGGTACTCTAGCCAAACTTAGATTAGCAGAGGCTAACCTTAGCATTGTTTCTCTGAGTCTGAACTTGTTTTTCGTCTTTGTTCTTCAGCAGGAAGACTTCCTGTGTTACTGGATAAGCCTGGACCTTCTACCCCTAGAAGGATTTACTTAGTCTCACTGGGCAAGGGGAAAACCTCCACATGATCCGTTCAAGTCCACTCCTGGAAAACCAAGTGACAGTCCGCTCCTTTACTCCTCTGGGTCCAACAATGTTGGTCTGCCTGTCCGCTCTCCAACGAGTTCCCTCTTCACTGGATTAAACCCCCACAAACTGGATCCAAAGATAAACCAAGAGCCCCCCAAAAGTGAGTGCCCCTCCAGCAATATTCAAGCCTCAGTCTATTTTCCCACTGTCCCTGAACTGATCACTGTGATCTCCCCTTCAGACTTTCCGGTTCCGGTTCACCAGTCCGCTGAGTTCCAGCATTGTTTCCCCACAGAGTTTCAATCTCCATCAGTGTTTGCTAACCTACAATAAAGCTGTTAAACTTTTACCCTTGGTCTCTGAGTGGTTCTCTGCATGTGGGTACGATCTTTAAAGCCCACTATGACACTCCCGTAGATATGGCTGAGGTGCTCAGTCATCTGGGAAAAGGCTCAGATTAGAGTTATTTCTCCTCTACATTGAGGAGTCAGCTGAGAAGGATCGCTTATCTTTCACCGATGCCCCCTTGTTGCCTCCCTCAGTAGGTATTTGAAGCACATCGTAAGGTTCAAAAATGTAGGTTTTGTAAAAGAAGAACTGAAATACACAGTAAAGGGACTATATCTCCTGGCTGGCGTGGGAGAGTGCCTCAGGCCTCCCCCAGAAGAGCTGGAGGACATGTCTGGTGAGAGGGTATTCTGCTCCGACTGGTGCCTCTGTGACCCACCCCTGTGGAAGCGAACAGTGTATTTTTTTACTGAAATGAAAAACTAATGTAAAAAGTTTTGAAATACTGTTATTTGATCTATTTTATATGAATGGGGACAGTGGCAACAGCTGCTATTCTGGCAGCCAAGATAAAACCTCATGCCCCTGCTTATCTAGGTGACCTTGATACATGCTAATCATATCAACTAAAAGTAAACTTATCACCTTTAAACCATATTGGTTTGAGCTATTACAAGTGTTTACAAAAACAAAGTTTAACGATAGATATATTTTCATAACATTAAAACAATATTTGTCAAATGAATTCCAGACAGTTCTAGAATCTATGTGATTTTTATATAGAAAGGAGATCCCTGGTCTCCCCCTTTAATATTACAAGGCAAAAATTACCAATCATCTTACAAACAGTGGCTGCACCTAATATTGAGGCACAGGTACAAGTACTATACAGTACTATAATATTGATAGATTGACAAAGAAATATTGTGCATGCCCACTTTTTCTGCCACTGATCAGAGGCATTCATTTGGTTCCACTGAGTGTTCTTTTGCATAAAAGTTTTGCGGGACTGTTTTGTTAAAGGTGACATCAGTATACCAGTTCGGCCAGATCTTCTGACATAAGGCCGATCTAATTCTGGAAAATGATTTAGCTGGTGACAGATTTCTGGGTTTGAAGATCCTGTCAATGTTACAGGTGAAACAGGATGCCAGAGCAGAACCTTCCAGGGGTTTTTACATTTTGAGCTGTTACCACAGCCATGTCACAGGCTGTGTCAAGCATGCTTTCTGATTAGAACTTTCACCTACTTAAGTATCTGTTTTTATTATCTCATAGCAAGAGTTGAGTACTGAGCAGAAAGAGGATGCATCCCTGACTGGTTTGATTGAGTGCAGCTCACTCAAGAGTCGGACAATTCAGTGTGTGTGTTTTATTTTGGAATAAGTACTAAATAAAAAGTGGATTCCAGAAATAGGTAAGCAGCATTCAGCCGGTAAACACTTATTTTATTTAGATTGCTATCTACTCTACCAGCATTACTAAAAATGTGAGCAATTATGAAACATTTTAAAAAGACAGAAAATTCCATCTTTGATGTCCGAAGATTTTTTTTATTCATTTTGTACCTTTTTTTTTAGTTCCTTAGTACAAAAAATTCACAGTGCTGAATCAGCACTGTTTAAAGTTTTTATTGACTTGTGTTGAACTGATTCTGGCAGTTCAGCCATTTTAGTGCTTTTAGATCTTACCGTCAGCAAGGTCTTTCTCTGTCAGGCTTGGGGACTCCAAGTCATCGTCTGCCCCCCTTTACTGTGGAGTCCTTCAGGGTTCTATCCTTGTTTGTGCTAAACCTCCTCCCTCTCAAAGAGATTTTTACTTAATATGGTAAAGCGTACCATTTCTATGCACATTATAGTCAAGTTTATTTGCCAATTGCTAAAAACAGTAACTGTCCCTGACACCCCTACTCGACTGTCTGGGTGATGTCAAGGCCTGGTTATCAAAATATTTTCTGAAACTATATGAGAAGAAGACAGAGGTTATAGTGTGTGACAGTACCATCTATGACTTGAGACCTTGCAAGGATTTTGTACTGTACATTTCAAAGTAATCAGCCTTGGTGTCACCATAGACAGCGATTTTAAACTGGACAAAGAAATGGCACTTTAAAATTGTGTTTTTATCGTTTCCATCTTTTATCTAAGATGAAACCGTTTTTATCTTTTAATCTCTTTGAACAAGTTTTACACTCTTTTATTTCTAGGTCTGAGGTCCATATTCGTCTAATAGTGCCTAAGACGAGGCTAAAAACCAGAGGGGACAGAACGTTTTCTGTAATTGGCCCATATGAACAACCTCCACAGTTGAGAGTTCAAAGTCTCTTCTTAAGACACACTTTTACTCTTTGGCTTTTAACACCACATAATTGTGTGGTCCTCTCTGTCCTTTTTATTTATTTACTCATTTTAAAATCTTATTCCGTTTTTGTGTGATTTTATGTACAGCACATTGGACACATTTTTTGTTGTTAAATCTGCTATATAACAAAGTGGATTGAATTGGACCAAATGATCAGTAAAGGGATACCTAAGCCTTGCTATATTTATTTTAAAAACAGAGGCAGAGAAAGCACCAGAGCAAGGAGAAGTGGCGGCTAGCCGGGACTCTGGAGGTTAACATTAGGAGATTGAAGGACGGTGGTAGATCAGAGAAGCCTGTCAGGTAAAGAGCACTGGAACACGGAAAGATGGTGGCAGCTGACCGATGTCTGCGCTGGAAAAAAGGGAGGATGAGGAATGATGAAGGAACAGTCCCTATGGGGCTAGATTAAAAATACTTTTGCTAAAGCCACATGTAGCCCACTTAAGAACATTATCTGCTTCGTTTTTTGTCAACATTATTTTTTGAAACAAAGCTTTGAACAACCTTGCGGTTTTTTGCAACTGAATATACACAAAACGTCTCATTTTTCAACTCCGGAGGGGGAACCAGGAAGGAGGGCAATAAACAAAAACCAAAAACAGAATCTAAACACAAAACTTTGCTTGGCGAGGCCAAGGGGTCGAGGTACAGTCCCTGGAGGCCGCACCTGAGGCCGGTGGTGAGGCAGAGTACATGGAGGCCGGCCCTGAGGCCAGAGACGAGACAGAGTCCATGGAGGCCAGCCCTGAGGCCGGAGACGAGGGATGACCTCTGGAGGACGGCCGTGAGGACGGCGACGAAGGATGACCTCTGGAGGATGGCCGTGAGGATGGCGACGAAGGATGACCTCTTGAGGACGGCTGTGAGGACGGAGTCTCTGCTGCAGGACCCTCGGAGGACGGCATCTCTGCTGCAGGACTGCGGCACACGAATCTTGGGGGCTGCCAACTGCTCCACACGAACCATGGGGGCCGCCGGCTGCAGCACCCGAACGTTGGGGACCCATGACGATGAGGTGAGTAGTGCCCACTGAGGGGCCTCAGAGGCGAGGAGCGCAGGCCGAGGGGCCTTGGAGGTAAGGAGCGCCCGCTGAGGGGCCTCAAGGACAAACTCTCACTGAGCTTAAAGTCAGGGACCAGTTCATTAGCGAGCTCAGGGGACTCTGGAGAGGGGACACTAGAGGGCACTAGAGAGGAGACAGAGTGCACTAGAGAGGGAACACCAGAGGGGCCTGAGACTAGAGAGGGGACAACAGAAGGGTCTGAGACTAGAAAGGGAACACAAGAGGGACCTGAGAGTGGAGAGGGGACACTAGAGGGAGCTGAGCCTAGAGAGGAAAAACTAGAGGGAGCTGAGCCTAGAGTGGGGACACTAGAGGGAGCTGAGCCTAGAGTGGGGACACTAGAGGGACCTAGGACTAGAGAGGGGACACTAGAGGGGTCTAAACCTGGAGAGGGAAAACTATGATGAGAAGAAAAACTGACCAGGTTTGGTGGTGGTCAAACAGTCAAACAGTAAGCTGACCAGGCGAGCTCTGTAATTTCTGCAAGCAATCGACAAGAAAGTTGATTTTTTTTTCTGTAAATGTTAGCTTGAACTTTTCCCGCTGTGCAGCCAGTTGTGTCATCTCTATTTCCAACAATTCCATCTGCTCCTCCAGTTTGTTTATCTGTCTCTGTCTGGTGCCCAAAACTAAATCCAAGTCTGCTGAGACCATTTCTGGCTGGTTTATACTGTCACAATGGATGTGGTTTGACAGGACCAAAACGCGGACAAAAGTTTGAGGTGGTTACTTGAATGTTTAATATTAAAAAGTAGTGATGTTATGAGATGAGCCGAGGCATCAAGGCGTGTGTCGAGTAATGGAGGGGGCGTTTCCCCGTTGCGCGTGTCTAGGAGTGATTCATTTAGGGGAGGGTTAAAAAATGATGACATCTGAAGCCTCGCTACCTTGATACCACGTGACCTCAGTGGTTAAGAAAGAGCAAGAACTTCAACAGGATTTGAACAGCCTCGCTACTCAGTCAAGATTAGGGAGTTTGTAGGAGAGTCGCTGTCATTTGGATAGATTCTAAGAATAGATTGGTTGTTTTTCCAACCAATCTAGTTGGTTAAAACTATTTTGGTCCGATTAAACAATGTAATCATCAAAATCTGAGCAAGCCACTGGACACAGTTGTAACTTTAGTGTTAAGTAGTATTGCTCTCCACTGAACAGATATCCATGTTAGTAGCGTCATCTGTGACACTGACTTCTACTCCTAAGGTTAATGGTTCAAGACCCACCGTTGACTGTTGAAAGTTGT